TATATATATATATAGCCACACACATATATATATGTATATTTTTTTTCTTTTCCGGAATTTTCAGAAAAGTCCACTTTCATCTCTGATGGTGTGCATGGTCAATGGGACAGAGATCGTGTTCGGGAGATGAGAAGAGCCGGGACGTTATTCTGGACAGATTTAATAACATTGAAGTTCATACGGTAAAATCCACATACACATTTTTTTTAACCTACCGTATTTTCCGCACAATAAGGCGTACCTAAAAGCATTCAATTTTCCCAAAAGCTGACAGTGCGCCCAATAATCCGATGCGCCTTATGTATGGTGCTACTCAGTCTCTTTATATTCCCCAGTGAGTTGTTTCCCTGTTAGTGTTCCTATACTATCTAGGGGTGATTATTAGCAGGAACCAATTGTAACCTAAAAGTTTCTGCTGGACACTAATTGACATGTGCATTCGCCGACACACACTCGAACAGACAACTACTTCGTGAGAGCTGCGCAGCCATTATGAAACGAAGATAAGACCAAAAGCATAGTTAAGCACTGACTAAACGAAGGAAGCGGGAGACAAACAAGACTTTTAAAGGACATTTAACCCCTTGTGGATGTGAGCGCACAAGGTTTGTGTGCCTTTTTGCTGAATCAATTGTCTTAATAACTTTTGTCTTTCATTTATTGTTTTGTAATGCCATTTGTATTTATGTTTCATGTCCGTGTTTGTGACCAGTTCTCATGGCTTTGTTCCAGTTGCAGCGGTTGTGAAGGCTCTATATAAATACACCTGTATTGTATTGTATTCCCTTTAGCATATTCCATCTAGTGGTTGCTTAGCGCAACTGCAGCCACTATTGTAGATTCTATTCTATGCGCCTTATAATGCGATGCACCTTCGATATGATAACAGTTTTGAAATAGGCCATTCATTAAAGGGGCACCTGATAATCCGAAACAATTTATAGTGCAGAAAATACGATATTTATTTTAATTTCAAGGCCATTTTCATCATTTTTACATTTTCGGACAGTTACAGTAGTTTGTTTTGTGTTTTGACATGTCATTTTACCATTCCCCTTGGAATTTTCAATGACAGTCATACAGAAATTGGCCTTTTGCCATTCTGTATTAAATATGTAAACTTCTGTTCTGTCTCTCGGAAGGGAGTCTGGATCTCAAAGCTGTTTTAAGTAATTGGTCCCTTCTTTGCATTAACAGCCAGGGTTTAGCCATGGAAGAGAATTGAATCTCCTTGTTCTTTGGCTCCTTCTCAGAGAGAAGAAGGAAATGGCATGATTGAGCTTCGTTATGGAACAATTAGCAAGGATATTGACGCCCTCATAGTGCTTCACAATCACACAGGACACTTTCTGATTCCAGGCAGTCTCTTTTATGGTTGATTTTAATGTGGCTGTTGGTTTTTGGTCTTTAACTTGGCCCCTCCGAAATTGTGTGGTTTTATTTTTTCTTTTTTAACATGCAAGCCCCAGACCGATCACATTACAATGACAAATTTTGACAGTTGGGACAAATTTTGTTGTAGTAATTTTTATCAAAAACTGTGTTATTTGTCAATTGTTGATGGCTTGCCGCCCTTCCCAAATGTGATTTATTTATTTATTTATTTTGTCAGTCCACAGAATATTTCCCCTGTGTCTTTTAAATAGCCAGTGAGACTGTCAGTCCTTGAGATGTCATGTTTGGTACATTTGTGGCCTCCTGAATCAGTCGTTATTGCACTCTTGAAGTAGATTCCAATCATTGTGTTTCTCATTTCTTCTTCACTTTATTTAGATTGTGACTTGATATGTTTCATTTCGAGATTTTGTAGCCCACGTCACTTTAGTTGACAGCTACTATTTGAGTGATTTCATAATTCAACAAATCTGATTATAATCGAGCCTGGCTACGGCCAGTAAAACTTGAATTCGTTTTTTCACAGTTAACTCAAGATGAAACAAGAGAGGCAATTACATTTTCACACATTTTCTCTGCTAATCAATTCACCATTTTGAAACAGTGTTTTGTATTTACTTGGGCTACCTTTGCGATATACCAAAATTGGCTTCATGATCTGAAACATATCAGTGTGAGAGCTCCCACGCCCACCACACACACACACACACGCGCACACACACACACACACACACACACACACACACACACACACACACACACACACACACACACACACAGGCAAAAATAGGATGGGGGCAAATACTTTTTGACTGCACTGTAGCTTTTCCTTTGAAATGGAAAAAGTCTTACCTGTGCTCACTTGTGCTGCGTTCTCTAACAAACTGATTCGATGTGGGAGGTTGGTAAGGGGCAGAGGACAGCTTAATGTTTGTGTGTGTATTGTACAGGAGTCCTTCTGAGCTGAACTCTGCTTGTTTTTTCCTCAGCTGGCTGGAGGAGGAATACAGCTCTTCTGTTGTTTTCTGAGAGACACGCATGAAAGGTTAAAGACACCCATCGAGAAAACACAAATGCAAGATGTAAAGTAGCTTTGGGTACTCCAAAATGGTTTGTGTACTCACTTCCGGCTGTAGTACTTTAATGTCAACTAACAGAGAGGCTAATTCTAAGTTTTCATTGTAGCCATTCTTTAGAGGCACAGAGCGGTAACCTAAAGAAAGAAAACATTCGAACAGTTGTAATGCAACTCTCAGATTTACACATCGACACTACCAGCTCCTAAAACTTCACAACAGACTGTATATATTTTTTTTGATACAACAATTCAACAGATTTGGATAAAGTCCGTTGTTGAAAAGAAGGCAGTGAAAACACTGACTCGAGGAGGGTTCTCATCCGGTCTCATCCTGAGACGCACACGCTCCCACACAAATCAAGCACATGTCATTCATCCATCCTTCATCCAAACTGCATATCGTCATGAGGTTGGATTTTTCAAAAATAGCTTTCAAAAGCACATGTGAACAACACGTTACACACTACACACACACACACACACACACACACACACACACACACACACACACACACACACACACACACACACACACACACACACACACACACACACGCAATGACATAATGAAACAGTTTGTATGTGCATAATCTGGAATATTTTAAAACAGTTGAAGAGAATTAAGTCATGAGAGGGAATAGTTTCGAAGCGAACGATTTCTTGGAAGAGCAGATGTGCGGCTTGTTCTCACCTGAACAGATACCTTTGACAGGAAACGTGGCCTGAGCGAGGAAATTTGGATCGGAAAACATGTCTTCCTCATTGACCACAAAGCGCAGGAAGGTGAGCTCGGGCTCATACACTTTGAAGCACACAGGCTGTGTTGTCACTTTCCACACCGGGTTCAGACCGTTATCCCCTACAGCCGGCAGAAAGACAGATACGCTGTAATTTGCAACTCGCCTTGTGTCACTTTTTCGACATGTTGTTACGAAGATGTTCAAATTATTTTTGCCTACGGTAGACGCTGGTCTTGGACTTTGCTTCAGTGTGACCACATAGTTCAATCTCCACAAAAGGACTAGAAATTGAGCGGCCGAGCTTCGGCAGGTGTCTGGCAGCAATCACCTGCAAAAGGCAAATTAACCCTTTCAGGGACAGCGGTTACTACCGTGGACACACTATCAGGTTATCAGGTTACAGGTTATCATTATTGGTGCATGAAGGGGTTAAAGTTAAACCTGTAATGTTCTATTTTTTTTTCATCTTGAACTTTTTCTTTAACAATAACTTAATAGATAATGTAGTAGTACATGTGTGCACACTGTAACTAAAAGTATTCAGAATTGAACAATCACATTCAAATTCATTTTGAATATGAGTCAACATGCAGCTGCCGCCGTCCAAAGTGTGTCTCATTAACCCAAAATATAATTCGGGTGTTCTGCGGTGGTCTGCTTTTCCTGACATTTTTGTCAACAGATCTTCGAGCACAAGTTATGGCCCGTCTGGGACATTGAAAAGGATCTCCTTCAAATGTTTCTATCAGAGATGGGGGGACTCAAGTCATGCCTTTACTCAAGTCAGACTACAGGTGCTATTTTTATGTCTTGCTACTTGATTGCCAAAATTTTGCGAACGACTTGACTTTAAAACTCATCTTAAAACTAATTTTTATTCTTTGGCTTTTGACTCAGTATGAGACTTGATTTTTACTTGTACTGTTTTGGTGCTTTCTACTGTCTTTGTTATTAATTTATTGTTTTATTATTTGTATACAGCAGTGGTTGTTTTGAAATGCTCTACAAATACAGTTGTGTTGAGGTGACTTCAGACTTGGTTTGTGAGCGACTGGACTTTAGACTCGAACTACATGACTTGACAAGTCATCTTGTTTAGAGTTCGAAATCTGCACATACAGTTTGACTTTTTTAGGGAGCAAATCATTTACGCTAACCTGGTAACCCAGTCCGTGTCACTTGTTGGTGTGAAGTGAAAACCAAAAATGGCAACAGCAGCGATTCAAACTACTCTGAGTACCATTAATTTGCATTAATGGATGACCTTGTCAATGACGTTGGCAAAAATCGGATCACGGGATAAAGGCACAAAACAACAATGGCTAACTTCATTCATGAATAATGTTTGAATGAAGGACCAAGACCGTATTTTGTAATGGCAGAAGTTGTTTGCTGTCTCCCATTTCACATTTTGAATGTGATTGCTCAATTCCGAACACAGCATCATCCCCACTTTGAAGGTGTGCCCACTTGTGCAACCACATTCTGAGTTTATTTTTACTCGCCTCTCAAAAAAGATGTTTTGCTTTTGTTTAATCAAAACAACTCGAGACCTTTTGCTGTATACGGTTGTCATGCCCTTGAGTAAGACAAAATCCCCACCACCACTTCGGGTCAAGTGGTGCAGCACTCTTTGCATACCTGTTCAACTCGGAATCGCCCCCTGCATGCCTATACCATATGTGCGTGATCTGGTTTCATTTATGATATGCAAAACAAAATATATATATCAGAGTGTGAGTTGAATTTCCCCTTCAGGCACTATAATTGAGTATGATAAAAATACATTGACAGGAAAGTCAGCTCAAAGCAGGATAAATGACTTGAGGGATGTATTGAAATAAATGTCTTCCCATGAGTACATCAGTCTGTTAAATGTATGGATTTACAGTAGGAGTGTGATCAAACATACCCTAACCACAATGTTGTACTTGACATCTTTCTTCTCGTGCTGAGGGTCATAGCTATCAGAGCGCATGAGCTCTGGTTTGAGAATGTAACCAGAACGTCCATTCATACCGAAGAGGGTGTGGTTCAGCTGGGTGTATTTATCTGGGGGAGCACAGCACATAATTATGGAATAAATATTCAAAAATGTATTTTTTTTTTTAAAGACAATAAGATTTGATAAGCCTGTTACCCATCTGTTAAAGAAAGAAAAACCCACAACGATCACTTTTTGTGTGTTGTAGCCAAAGGCTCCAGTGTGGCATTATATTTGTGCCAGAATTGGAAGCTCGTAAGAGGACATTTTGAGCACAAGAACCATTCTTGACAATCAACTTCACTGACTGCTTGCCTGCCAAGCTGAAGAAGAAGCTGTCGAACCATCGAAGAAGTGTGCGCGCGCACCGAACAAAAGTGTGGCTTAACTTTGCTGAAATAAAATGACCAGAGATGGGCACATCAGTAAATTTGGCCATACCGTTATTCATCTTTCATCAGCGGCCAGGCCATGCGCCTGTCATCATCACCGGAGTGACGCCTGCACATCATTATCTCACTGTCTTAACTACACCCTCTCTCTGTAGTTTGTTGGAACAAGGTGGACAACATTGTGGTCTGCAGTACTGAGAGGTTTCTTCTGAAATTTATATGAATTTTGGATATTGGCAAAGCAGAGGTTGATTGTTTTATCGCCCCTGGTGGCACATGTAACATAGTGGTGATAGGTGAGAAAAGACTTCTTTCGTCTGCAGCCATCAAAATCCACAAGGTTGAAAACAGAAGAATCAGGAGAGGCAGTCTGAATCTTTTGGACACAAGATGCAATGTTTTCAGATGCGTGCGCCACGTTGCCTGATGGAGGAGATATACAGCAACACTAACGCGAGCTGACCAAACCTGCAAGGCAGATACTAAAAGACAGTGCGAGCATTTCCACATCAGTTGTGAAGCAAGAGTCAATGACAGCGACCCTCCTGATCCACGCCTGGTTGATGTACACACAGACCCCGCCCCCATGACTCTTCCGACTGCTCACTTTGTCCCGGTCCAGGCTTACCGGAGTCCCGAAGCCACTGAGGGAGACCTGGGTGTCCGAAATTGTCCTGTCAAGCCAGGTTTCTGTGATGTGGATCAAACCCGCATCCTTGTATGCTCACTGACACGAGATGTTGGCATGTAGTTCATCTAGTTTATTGCGGCGTGACCTGCCGTTGGCGAGCAGGATAGGGGGGTATGGGGGGGCTTTTGAATCTCCAGCCAAGGTACTTCAACTTCTGCCTCATGCATCCCCTCCTCCCCCGCTTTCTCCTCCTTCAGACAGGCCCTTTGCGGACTTCGAGTTACCCAGGAATATGTCGATCCACTTTTGTAGCCCCGCTGGCACTGGACATTCCACATCCCGCTGGAGTAATCAATCCCCCCGGCTGTACCAGTGTATCACCGCCACGGGTTGTCTCACCCGCGAGTGTATGTCCCACAGTGAAGCAGATTAGCGGTTGCAGCACACGTAGGCACTTCCTCATTGTGTTAAGTGACCCAAAGCGATGTGAAAATCAAGAATGAAAGATTCGATCACACGCAGAAGCACTTAGGGCAAGGTATGCGATTCGCAATCACATGATTATATGACAGAATTCGACGCATTACAACAAACAACCAGGCCAAGATATTCTCTTCCGCCTGTCGCCAATACAGCGCAAATACTGCACCTCTGCGGGCAGGAAAGCCTCTGGAGAATGTGCCAAACCTGTCTTGATTGTCACGCGCTGCACGCTGCATTTACCACTGTGCTATGCTGCATCATTGGAACCTGAAGAGGTAGTATCAGTGGTGCCAAAGTTTTAGAGTAAAATTACTGATATTAGATAGCCCTTGATGATCAGTCAACAGCCAAAGTTTAAGTAACGCCGGGTGATCGTAGACCAGCAAGTGTTGACAATGTGGGCAGCAAGTGAAAGAAACAAAACAAACTGTGAAAACCAAACACAGTGGTACAACCTTAAAAGCTGAGAAAAGTTGTCATCCTCAGAAGTTTCTAAAAGGTATGTTTCGTCATTGCTATTTGCCTGACATGAGCGTATATCTCGATTTTGAAAAGGTTGGGAACCACAACTCTAATACTGGCACGTTTTCGGCTCAATCAGGATAATTACCTGCCGTCTGGAAGTTAAGAGCCACCATGTGACAGCCAACTGCCCAGAGAGGGTAGGGGTCATAGTTGGAGGACTCCACACGCTGTCCTTTTGGGTAAATCCGACTCAGTGCCTTGTGATTGTACTGCAGGAAATCCATGGAAATGCTCTTTCCTGGTGTTTTATTCTCTACAAAAGAACGGACCTCTTTGCAGTTGTAGCAGTCTGCAAAGACAGAAAGAGGCAAGTTTATAATGATACATGAGTGTCATGAAACAATAAATTTGAATTAACATGCTGTGTTGTTGTGTTGGGACAATATTGATAATAATAACAATAATAAATGCAAATTTAGCAAAAAATAAACCAATGGAAATCCAAATTTGCTTTAGAATTTTGGTTCAATAGGAATATAAGGAAAACGAAACAGGCTTGGACAAAAACGATGGTTCCCCAAACTTCATTTGGGTGCACAACAATTTGAGTTGATTACTAAAATCAAACGATTTTTGTAACTTTCAATGAGACTTCAGCACCTTCAAGCAGGTGTTTTGGCCCGCTCCTCATGAGCAAACTGCTCCAGCTCTCTCAGTTTGAAGGGTGCATTGGCTCCTTCCACAGATGTTCAATAGGATTTAGATCAGGACACATAGAAAGTCAGTTTGGAATAGCCCAATATTTTGTTCTTAGTCGTTCTTGGATCTTTTGAGCTGTACTTTGGGTCATTCACTGAGACCAAGCTTTCTGATATTGGGCAGCATATTTCTCAATCGAATACCTTATTAGTCTTGGGGTTTCATTGTACCATTCCCAGATTCAAGACAAATGCAGCAAAGAAGCCCCAGAAGATCATAGAGCCTCCGCTATACTTCAGAGTAAGGGTGATGTTCTTTTCTTGGTATATTTCATTTATTTTCTTCTGTCTGTGAAAATGGAGCGAATGTGTCTTGCCCAAAAGTTCTGGTTTGTCCATTGGCCATTCTCCCAGAAGCTTTGCGGTTTGTCAACATGCCTCCTTGGTTCACTTCTTATAAAGTCCACTTTGGCTCAAAAAACGACGGTTGGGACAAGATCAGACACGAACATACCTTGAACTTTAATTTCACCATTTAATTAATTAAAGATTGTTCTGGACTCCTTTGTTATGATTCATATAATCCAGCTCTTCAATTTAATCAATTGTCCTCCTGTGGCCACATCCAGGGAGGTTGGCTACAGTCCTGTGGATCTTAACTTACTGAATGCTATGTGCAAATGTCGTCACGGCGACATCAAGCTACTTGGAGATCGTCTTTCAACTTTAACGTGCTTGTATATTATTTTCTTTCCAATCAACGCTAGACAACGCTCTCCTTCGATTCCTCTGGTCCATGGGTAGTGTGATACACACCGGGTCACCAAACAGCATCGTGACTACTTGTCACACAAATAGGCCGTCTGACTGCTTCCACGTTTGGAAATTCCTGCGATGCTAATTAGAGGACACACCTCGATTAAACATGTCCCTATGATTAAATTATTTACAGTCTTCTGTCGGAGCACCAAGCCAATGTCATGAGTTTTTAAAAATATTTCTGTTGAACCACAATTCAAAATCAATGCCTGATCTTCAGTGGTTAATGTTTTGTCGACGTGTGTGTGTACTTGTCTACGTTAGAGCTGCTGTATAATCCAAAGCCTAAATGAAATAATAAATTATGTAAGGAATGAACATTAGTGGGCTATTGGTGCGTATTTTACACAAATAGCCTGGAGGAGACTTGTTCAATCATCATATTTTCTTTCCCATGTGTTATTACAACTGCAGGCATTTACCAAAACGGTCCTTGTCCTTGCTGCGTGGCTGACAGTAGACAACCAGATCTGACATCTCCATAGCAACCTCTGCCTTCTTCTCCACTTCCTCCTGCTGCCTGATCTGAGGTTGGACAAAAATGTAACTTCCTTGTACGATATGCTCAGTGACTGGATAAGACTATCAATGCACGGTGGTCCATATGTGGTAAAATATGCACAATTACAGCAATCAGTATTAAAATACAAAGAAGACCAACATGTGGCTTGTCAGCCATTCAATATTAATTCATTGAAGCGTTTTTGTTTTCCTGGGGAGGTCCTTCTCCTGTCAGTATTCCTGTTGGTTTACCACAAAACAGTGTAAATATGACTAAAAGGTTAATAATGTCATTGTCTGGCTGCTGTTTCATATGAAACAGACTTGTGAAGATAGTAGCTGAAGATATTGTGAGTAGTATGTTGTGCCCATATTTTTTGCTGTAAGTTTGGTCTGCTCTTTTCAAGCACTGCAAGACAGGGGTCTCAAACTCAACTCGTGTGGAGGCCGCTGGAGATAGAGTCTGGGTCAAGTATTTAAAAAAAAAAAAAAAAAAAACTAATCTAACCTTCTCAATCTTTATGAAAAATATTTCATAACATCAACAGTTCTTCAGAACATGAACCACATTGATTACCCAGTCCTCTATCTCATCACCTTGGTGCTTAGCACACTCCTCATCATGACGAGTTACATAACGTCTGATTGCCTGAGCACCTTAACGTTCTCTGTATTCAAGACATGGCGTGTTGCCTCTGTGCTCAACAACAACAACAACAACAAACATCCCATCTCCTCTTAGTCTTCAAGTTGGCTGTTTTGACCCAAACTTTCTCTTCATGGCAGATTTTGAAATAGACATGAGTCATGAGAGGCTATCTTTTATTTACACTTCGTGTGACTTCAGAATTATGAATTTCCGAAAATTGTCATGATCCTGAGGTATGATAGCCCATAAGTGATAAACACACACACACACACACACACACACACACACACACACACACACACACACACACACACACACACACATCACCCAAGGCAATGTTGCGCCAAAAAAATTAGGGGGGCGCACTCCCATTAAACTTTGCTGTAAAGTACGGGGCAGCAAAATATCATCGTGCGGCCCAAAAATGGCCCCGGGCCACAGGTTTGAGATACCTGCTGTAAAAGCTAAGGAAATGTGCCAACAAGGGTAAATTAAAGGGGTACAAATGCCTTTCATAATTTGAATGTCATGTCATGTATTGAGTAAAAAAAAGAAGTTTGTTAATGTTTACATGCTGCCAAACTTGTGACTGTGAAAGTCATTCATACAATAATTTAAAAAAAAACAATAATAAGAATAACACAGCAATACAGTTATCAGCAGTAGGAATAATCTAACAGTACCTATCTGAATATTTCTAAAGCAAACACTTGCCTCTTGTTCTCGACTGAATTGCTTTCTCATCTCTCTCTGAGTGATGCCCCAAGCCACCTTGTACCATTCAAAAAGTTCCTCCAAAGAGTCTGCAGCCAAGTCATAATGCAGACCGTCCTGCTCGATGTTCTGCAGTGTAAGAACATGCAGCTTTCCATTTTTACCATTTTTCACTGAAAAGAGGGAGGACAGGATTCAGTATCACGGCATTCCCGATTAACTGTTCATTTGTAACCTTGTCGGGGACAGCGGTTACGACACTGGACAGCTTTTCATGTTATCAGGTCACAGGGTGCATGAAAGGGTTAATGTTGTTTTACACATTTATAACTGTCGCGTTGAAGTAAAAGAAAAAAAAAAAGCCCAAATTAAATACCGGTAAGAATTTTGAATCCACAGCTCTAAGTACAGTTAAGCAGCGCTATATTGCTGTTCAGTCATCGCAGTCCCGCCACAGATGTTACTCTGGTTTTTTTAGTTACTGTTTGTCAAGTTTGTTTGTGCTCTCTCTTCTTGTTTTGAGTGATGAGTGAAGACCGTAAAAAAAATTTGAGTGCTGTTGATGCTATAAACATAAAAATGACAATGGCATTGTTTTTTTAGATAGCAAGCCATTTTAAGTGTTTGTAAGTCTTTTTGTGTCGTGAACCAAATTTCAATTTGAGGATTGAAAACAGAAAACAAACCAAACACATTTTGATGTTATGTGATTATTTTTTCTGTCGATGTTTCAAGAATTCCTTTCCACAAATGATCACATTATGAATTTGATCTCCACCGTTAGCAAAATTCATTCGTCACCCTCATTGTTTTCAAATGAATGTACATTAACTTGAAATGACATAAGAAGTGAAAAAAAAGAGGTACTCACAGTTTTGTATGTTGCACTTCGATATATCCACCATGCCCTTGCATAGTTCTCCCAAAGGATTGTCTTCTATATTCTGTTTTAATTTAGATCACAAACAGTGATGACATTTTTAGTTTTTCTAATGCCATCAAACCTCCAGTTCAATTATGACCTTATAAACATTTTTTCAAACCTGTTGTCCAAAATCATGTTTGGCGTTGTTGGACACTTCCTCAACATAATTGGATGGGAAAAAGAGCTGCACATTTCCACCATGGTCTCCTTTCCACCTAGAATGCGAGGAGGGATGTGAATGTTTTTTGTGTGCGTGCGTGTATTTGTGTATTTTTGGACTTGGTCATGTCAAACAACAATGTGCAAATGGACTCACCATCCATCATTGTCCTTTGACACATTATGTATTAAAGCCCCTTTATTGAAGGTGAGTTCATCGGGCATTTTAGCCTGGTAGCTGTAAATAGCCCGAACGGTACTCTTTGGCTAAGGTGGACAAACACACAATGGAAAATTAGGCAGCCAGTATGTTAAGCACAAGACAAACAACAACAACAACCAAAACAGAAGTATTAATCTGAATACTGTACACACCAGTGATGACTCAATCTCATTGGGTTCCACATATGTCGTCATTTCGTACAGGGAGGCAGTGTCTTTATCCTGTCAAAAACGAATCAACTGTCAGGTACTGTTCTTGACAGAGATGTTACCTAAACGAAGTGGGACTCAAAGTGGTCACCTCAAAAAATGTCATATTAGAATGTCGCCTTTTTCGTGTCAGCGGTTAATGGATAGCATGCCTGTCTTCCATTTCTGAGGTTCTGTGTATGAATGTCAGCTCTGCACATGCATGTTTGCACAATCCATAAACATGCATGTTAAGTGGACCGAACACTCTAAATTGTTCCAAGGTGTGAATGTGAGCGTGAACGGCTGTTCCGTTTAAATGCGCCCTTTGACTGACTGATGACCAACCCAGTGTGGACCTCACCTCTCGGCCAAAGTCAGATGAAGCTCACCAGCAACCCAAGTGATGTCAAGCGGGATTGAGAATGGATGGGTGTGTGCATGGATGGCTTCCTGTCTCAATGTTTGATTAATAGGTATTGTCATAAAAGAAAATGTAGGATTATTATATTAGTGTTCGGAATTCCTAGATGAGGCCACCGGGGAGAGGCCCGGCAGCCTTGTCAGGGAAAAAAGTAGCCACAGTGAAATTCCTACAAACTGGTTCTTGTAATATTGGAGTTATTGTATCCAAATAAAATTCGGATACATTGCCTTTGTCTTTGAGTATTTAATATAATAAATAGGAAAAACAAAAACCATGGCAGCCCTGGGTTGTACCTTCATCTGCCGTAGGGTCAGGGAGTCATGCCACCCCACCTGTCTAAAATAACAGGTTATAAATGAGTGCTGGCCCCTCCTTTCGAGAAAGAGCTGTGTTTGGTCTGCAGGACCAAATGAGGACCCAGTTGTTTCCTTGGATTTGGGGCCGCCACAAAAAAGGATAAAATCCGACTGTAACGGATAGTTAGGACTGCGGAAAAAATCATTGGCACCACCAGACGCACTCTCGGGGACCCGCACACAGCAAGAACCAAGACAAGGGCACGGAAAATCCTACTGGACCCCCACACCCTGCCCAACACCTTTTCCAGCTACCCTCCTCAGGCGAGCGCTACCGGTCCATGCGCACTAAAATCAGCAGACATTCAAACAGCTTCTTCTCTCTCGCCATTAGCTCCCTAAACAGTAACTCAAATCTATAATGGCTCTTTGCATTTTTGCACAGCCCTGTGGAACAGTATTACTGCAATTATCATTGTAGCTCCAGCTCTGTACATACGGTACTTGAACAATTGTCATTGTTCAATATCCCACAGTACCAGACTTTAAAGCGCTCAAGCACTTTCTGTATAGTTGTACACCTAAAGTTGTACTTCAATTACTGCTACTGGTGACTGAAAAAAATGGCGCAACGATTATCTGCACCAACTGCACAACCGTCATAGTATTGTATTGCGCCACCGATCACTTTATTTCGGCTCGATGACTCTGCACATTGTCACACAGCTGTCATTGAGTGCTACTACTGCACAATGGCACCCTTCCATTGCGGAAAATCTTTCGATACTTGTTCGTCATGTCCTTGTTTATCGTAGTTGCTTGTTATTGCAACACTAGTGTAACCTGTATTACCGGACACAAATTCCTTGTGTGTCAACATACTTGGCCTATTAAAATGATTCCTATTCTGATGTTGCTAAGAGAGGAGGAATGAACAGCAATGGAGGAATGGAGGAAAACACCACTTTGGGGGTGAATTAAGATGTTTTTAACATAGCTAAAAGCTCAAAATAGTAGATTTCGCATGATATGGCCAAAAAAAAGAAAAGAAATAGACCAACATTTAGTAGTACTGTGTTTATAACACACACAAACTTTAGAATAACCTTGAAAATCCTGGCTGTCAAGCCATATTGCAGTGCCAG